ATTATTTTTAATTTGTTTTAATTTATTTTTATTTAAATTTTGTTATATATTAAAATGTTAAAAATTTTTAAATATCCTTATGTGATCAAGGAAATTTACAATAAACATAAAATTTGTTTTTCTTAAAACTTTTTTAGAGTAAAAAATGGAAAAATAACCATTATTTCTTGCATTATGAGGCTCCTAATATATATAATGATGATGGAATTGAAATTGAAGGAGCAAAAGAACGTTGGATAGAAATTGTTAATTATATGATTAATGATTTAAAATGGCTACTTAGTCTTCCATTCTATAGGTAAGCATAATTAAAAAAATATTGATATGTTGAAAGTTGAAATATATATATATATATATATTTATTAGTATTATATTTTTATTATATATTCTTTATATAGGTTTTGGTCAAACATTATATTCAATCCCTCAATATTAAATACATTAGTATCTTTTCTTCAAGAAGCACCACCATTTTATGCTTTAGAAAATTTCCCTCCAGATATGTTACAACTTTTAGAAATATTAAGTCATTATGTACTTATAATTTTTACACGACTGATTACAAATAAGGAAAATTCAAAAGAATATATGGGCCGTCCTTTTTTTGGAAATTTATTATATGAGAATTATATATTTACAATTCCAATTATTTTTGATCTTTGCCAATTTTATGGTCGAGAAAATCCAAAAATAATGGAAAAAATTTTAAACTGTTTATTTATATTAGAACCACGGTATAATAATGATCTTCAAAAAACTATTCCTTGCCTTATAGAGGTGATATAATAATAATACAGTTTATAAAATAATTAATCTTTTCTTAAAATAGTATTTAAAATATTAAATTTAGATTATTGATTCAGGCACTTGAAGAAGTTGAAAGAAAGTTTGGTCATTGTTCTACTCATACTAATGCAGCAATATCAACAGATTCTACAAAATTTACATTATTTAATTTGGAAGATATGATATTATACATTTTAGATATATCTTCAACTATCGAAATATTTTTGAAAAATTATCCTTCTGCAGCAAATGTATTTCATAGAGAGGATTTTATGAAAAAGTAAGTAATTAAACTGTATAATATAAAATATTCTTATATAATTTTTTTTATCTTTTTTAAATTATCTCTAATAATTTATTCTATTATTGTTTTTTAATATTTATTAGACTTGTTTCAACATATGAAAATACAATTCCTGAAATGTATAAATTATTAGATGACTTGGCATATAATGATGAAAATATGCCGAAATATATGGAATTAAAACATCGTTTAGATGTAATAAGAATTGAAATTTTAAATCTTTTTCATATTATTATATATGAACCAATATTAAATATCCAAGAAAATGTGTAAGTGCATAATTTTATTGGTCAAAAAAATCTCTCTCTCTCTCTC